TCCAAGGCAAGTTTTTCAACTCTTGGAAATCCAGAAAACTTCCTGTCTGGGCTCAGATTTGATATTTAAACACAACTCTTATCAAACCAAGGCTAGGATGAACCACATTGTGATAACTCAGGACCTGCAGCCCAGCAGGGGATCTGATAAGGAAGGACTCTGACACCCTAAAGAGACCCTTTGAAATTCTGCTTTGAGCTGATTTGTATTCAGTGCATAGCGAAGCCCAAAGCACTCAGCCAGTGAGACATGAAACTGCTCCTCTAATGGATCATTCTCTGGCCTTTCATATCTTAGATACTCATGGAAAATAGGTCTGGCTCCTGCATATTGAGCAAAGGGCATGTTTTGCCCCAGGGTGGGAATGCTGAAGTGTCATTTACAGGGATATTCCAAGAAAATACTGTGTGTATCTTCTTTTTTTTGTATGTGTTTTTTGTTTGTTTGTTTGTTTTTTCTTTCTTTTTGCAAGATTGGACACTTGCTACTTTACTTTCCAACTTCCCTAAAGAACAAGGAATTCTCATCATGTTGCTTGCATTATGTTGAATTAAGAAGACACATGGACACATTAAGAAGAAACAGGGACTACACATTTTATTAATTTTTGTTCTATGGGCTGTTTTATAGAGGACACTGTGTTTCCAGTCGTGGCTTCACTAAGTTCCATCTTTTTTCTTTTCTAAGGCACCTGAAGCTGGAAACATTTCTGCTTGGCTGACACACCAGTGGGTGCAGGGCAGGAGGAACAGGTGACAGAGGGACAATATTCCTGACAGTCTTAATATGGGCTACAAGGAAAAATACCATGAAAAGGCAGATCCAGGAGGGTGGAAAGGAGAGGGAAAACACATTTAAAACCAGCTCCAGCTCATAAAACATCTCCAGCTGATATTCTCTCTCTCTATTTTATATATACATATATGTAAAAACATATATAAATATTCTACTGCATATTTACTGACTGTTCAGCACAGGGAGAGTGCAAACACAGGATGAATTTCCACACAGGATTTTCCCTCTGTGGGAAGAGTATTGTCTGATTTGGTTGGTGTGCCAAGACACAGGACTGGTAGCGCAGGCAGAGCTGATCCAGGGCCAGGCAGAACAAGACTGGCACAGATTTCTTTGAATCAAGAGTGGAGTCACGGCAGGTGTGCTGTCCTCCACTCGGAGGGCAGGCGGCATTGCTTCCAGGTGTGCTCCCAGAGAGCCACCACCTCTCCGAGGCTGCGCCAGGTGGAGGGAATCCCTCCCCCCCCGCCCCGGGGTCTGGCGGGGAGAACCGGCACCCGCTGCTGCCGGTGCCCGGCGTCCCGGCACTGCCGGGTCCTGTCCGTCCGTTCCTTGTGGCGGGGCATGGCAGCGGGGGGAGCGGGGCTCAGGGGCCGCGCTGCCGCGGGCGGGAGAGTTGGAGGGGCCGGCGGCCCCCCAGGTAAGTGCTCCCCTGCCCGCGGGCGTGCGCTTGAATAGCTGCGTCATCCCTTGGGAGCTGCAGCCCGGGCACGTGTGTTTTCCAAGGCTGCGGGCTCCTGGCATCGATGGGGACAGGACAGGATGTTTGGGCAGGAGCTGGGGGGTGCCCTCAGCACTTGCCGTTGGGCAGTCCAAAGAAAGGGTGTTTTATGGCGTTCCCAGGAACTGCTTCAACAGCTATAGACTTCCCCTGCCTTCTAAGGCTAAGGATGTGGTGGCAGCAAGAAGACAATTGGTGGGATTGGAGGCCACTTGCTGCCTTTTGGTCAGATGTGTAACTTGTGTAATGGGTGTGTTTCCTAGGAGAAAACATTCCGTAGTAGCAGAATGGTTTCCACAGACACCAAGTGAGTGCCACACAGGTCCTGCAAGTGCTTCAGGTCCTGCAAGCCCTCCTGCAGACTTAGTGAAGTGTTGAAGTGTAAACTGACTGCTGGGAGCACTGATGGGCACAGCAATCTACAGCTGTGGTTCTTGGAACAGTGGTGGCTCGTGGCTGAAGTGCTGCTGTTTGAGAGGGCAGCGGTGGTGTCTGCTGCTGGGCAGATGCCTGAGAGTGGGTCATATCCAGGGGGCAGCATAGGCAACATGAGCAGGATGTTGGAAGACGTGGGATTTCCTTGAAACTTCACCTGTTCGTTAGCTTTCCTCCTGTGGCTTGGAGTCTCTTCTGTAACTTGTGACCCGTGTCAGATGGTGGGGTTTCTTTGGTTTGGTTTGGTTTGGTTTTTCTCGATCAAATGAAAAGGGTGGGTTTTACCATGGGAAAGATTAAGGAGGTTTTAAGAAACGTTGGAGAGAACTGTCTGATGTTTCCATTGGGGCATCCAAGCTGTCTGCTGTCAGTGCAGAAAGGATGGCGAGCTGCAGGGTTATTATTAGCAAAGGGATGAAATAACGTTTATTGTTGATTGGGCCCTTTATCGTTCTTAAAAATGAAGGAAAGACTTCCGAAAACCAACGTCGGTCTTTCAGGACGTTTATTTTTGCCAATCTGTGCTCCGGGAGTCCTTGAGGTCTTTGGGGGCGGGGGGGGGGGGGCGCGGGCGGGGGGGCGCCCCCGGCCGTGTCCGCCAGGTGGCGACTGCGAGGCAGGGCCCGGCGCTCGGGGCGGGCTTGGAAGCGGCGCCTGCGCAGAGCGAGGCGCTGCCCGGGCCGGGCCTGAGGCGCTCGGGGTCGCCGGGCAGGGCAGTGGTGGTGACTGGCCGGGGGCGGGGGGGGGGGGG